TATTTCAAACACCTCGGCATACATGTGAATAATGTGAGAACCGAACTCGAGACTTTATATATATTCAATTTATGTCGGGTATTTACGCACGGTATTCAAGTGGTTTATGTACTTTGGCTCTCTATGTCGCTTGTTTATGTCGGGTGTCAGTTATAAATAAAATCAGGGAGATAAACCATTAAATCACTTGACACGTCAACACAATTAGAGTTACCTGCACCTGCTAGAAGAGTTCACTATGGCAGTCCATGTTGGCTCTTAGACCTCTGACATCTATACATACTGACATAGACATGACATCCCGTGTTGCAGAACGCTACATTTCTTCTTCATTTTCTTCGTTCAAAATTCTAGTGAAGGAAGGGATCCCCTTCAACACAATTAAGTATACGTGTCAACTGGTTATGCGCCAAAAAGGCCGTTAACTTCTATTTCAGCCTGCTATTCTTTCTTGATTTCCTTTTATAGCCTTTGTCCATCCAAAAAACAAACTGCTTTTTAGAATTTTCTCTCCTTAGACTGGTTTCTGTCCAAGCTTTCGAACATCATCGGCCACGGGGATTGTAACTCTGGACTTTTCGGTAACCATGAGATATAATGAACCCATCACGCCGACCCCTACTAAGCATCAATTTCATTGGGGTTCATGGACATCCACAATTCAAGGTCAGTTATTTCTATCTAAGATCAATTTTAAAGCCCTACTTCGTGATTATCTAATTGATCTTATTATTATCAGAATTAATTTACATACGATAATTGCTCCTAGTTGTAGCCAAATATGGTTTTAGTATGTGTTTCCCTATCAATTAACTTATTTAATCAGCTTATCGAATGTGGTTTTAGTATGTGCTTCTCTATCAATTAACTTATTTAATCAGCTTGCTATTGTAATCATTGGACGACCCGGGCTACAAGATGGAACAATGCAAGTCGTAAAAATAAACCACACCCTACCGCGTGCGTATCTAGGACATTAACCCCCAGTCAATAACGTCACAACCCAGAAAGTACGTCATAGTCATTACCCCCCCCCCCCACAAGGTGAATTATTTCCACATGCTCATTACCCAACCACTCAAATTATAATTACTCCTTCTTGAAAAGGCGGGGGGAGGGGGGAATAACACAATAATGGTGAAATGGGAATACCAGGCAGTTTGAATTGGATTGACATAGAATATAAGACGAAGGGGTGGGGGGGGTGATGGCAGAGGAAGGGGGGGGTAATGCCCTGCTCTCATCTGGTTTACACAAGACATCGTGGTAGTTAAAAGACAAAATGTGCTCTCTGGAAACTTCTCTACACATTTGACAACGATATATAACAATACCACCCCCCACCCCCACACACACACACACTTAAATATATTATGACTTCTAAACCATTATATAATTTATAACAACACGATAAACCACTTTTTCCTTCTGTTATTTCATACTGAATAGTTCCTAAGACTCTCTACATCTAAGACACCACTCCCTACACCCAAGGCACCACTCCCCACACCTAAGACACAACTCCCCACACCCAAGCCTCCACTTCCCAAAGACACCACTCCCCACACCTAAGGCACCACTCCCCACACCTAAGGCACCACTCCCCACACCTAAGGCACCACTCCCCACACCTAAGGCACCACTCCCCACACCTAAGGCACCACTCCCCACACCTAAGGCACCACTCCCCACACCTAAGGCACCACTCCCCACACCTAAGGCACCACTCCCCACACCTAAGGCACCACTCCCCACACCTAAGGCACCACTCCCCACACCTAAGGCACCACTCCCCACACCTAAGGCACCACTCCCCACACCTAAGGCACCACTCCCCACACCTAAGGCACCACTCCCCACACCTAAGGCACCACTCCCCACACCTAAGCCTCCACACCCCAAAGACACCACTCCCCACACCTAAGCCTCCACACCCCAAAGACACCACTCCCCACACCTAAGCCTCCACACCCCAAAGACACCACTCCCCACACCTAAGCCTCCACACCCCAAAGACACCACTCCCCACACCTAAGCCTCCACACCCCAAAGACACCACTCCCCACACCTAAGGCACCACTCCCCACACCTAAGCCTCCACACCCCAAAGACACCACTCCCCACACCTAAGGCACCACTCCCCACACCTAAGCCTCCACACCCCAAAGACACCACTCCCCACACCTAAGGCACCACTCCCCACACCTAAGCCTCCACACCCCAAAGACACCACTCCAGTGGCGTAGCGAGGGGGGGGGGGAGCACATATGTCCCCGGGCGCCGACCTTAGGGGGCGCCAAAATGGGTTGGAAAAATAAATTGAAAGGTTGAGGGGGGTGCAAATCTTGATGGGGGGGTGCAAATCGAAAGTCTGCCCCGAGCGCCGGGAAGGGTCGCTACGCCTCTGCACCACTCCCCACACCTAAGCCTCCACACCCCACACCTAAGGCACCACTTCCCACAACTAAGGCACCACTCCCCACACCTGCCTCCACTCCAACACCTAAGACACCACTGCCCACACCTAAGGCACCACTCCCCACTCCCCACACCTAAGCCTCCACTCCCCACACCTAGGGCACCGCTACCCACTCCCCTAGCCTAAGGCACCACTCCCCATCCCTAAGACACCACTCCCCACACTTTAAGCCTCTAGGGGATAAACAGTCTCCTACTTTTGAGAAAAATGAGATTTTGTGTTTGACATCGTTTGCTGTTCCATTGTGGAATGATTTTAAATTTAAAATCCTAAATATTGAGGAGATAGAGGTGGTTTTACGTTTTATATTGTTACATGTACACATTGTATACACTAGTGCTACACACATATGGCACTAACTAAAAATTTCAAAAAAAAATTAGACATAATATGTTGCTTATCCCGCGATGTCTTCTTTGGACTTTTTTGGCGATTTTTTTTTTTTTTTTTTTTTTTTTTTTTTTTTTTTTTTTTTTCGCCTCAGACACGTAATTTATAGCGTCAGTTGTGTGTTCGCTTTAGTATTACAGTTTTCATCATCGGCTTGTGAGGACTGATACAGGTTTACAATAGTAATATTTCTTTCTTACTTGTAGCCTACTTTCATTCATTTAAGATGGTTTACTCATACATAGATCTAATACAAAACGTCTAAATATAAAGAAAAAATAAAAATTAAAAACCAACCTGAAACTGAAAATGCAAATGTGTAATTAAATGATGATTCAAGGGATTTTTTTTCCTCGGCGTGCGTGGTGGACTGAGGGGACGGGGGGGGGACGGGGGGGGGGGGGGGGGGACGGGGGGGGGGTGGAATTTGTGTTTTTAAGTAGAGCTGAAAAAAAAATGGGATTACCGAGAATTAAAATGATACAAATTTTACGCAATCGGAAAAGTTATGTTATTACAATGAGACACATCAAAGCAAACATTCTTCCCTTTCAAACATCTATATCTGTACAGTCCTCAAACAGTTGTTTTTTTTTTATTTATTATTAATTCAATTGTTTTAAACATTTAAATCAGTAATAATAATATATTTGATAGATTTTACACAGCATCAAAGACATGAACAATGAACATCCATTGCATATATAATAATCAAATGGAGAAAATAAAATGGCATAAGAGCTAGATTAAAATAAGGCGTGCATACTAGGTCTCTCTTGACGGATTAGTTTAGTGTGCTGCGGAGTCAAAAGTTCACATTGCAGCCACCCATGGATAGAAATAGAAAGGACCGTGGGAGAAGTGTCTCTTTAATACACATACTGATCTATCGTTCCAAAACTTTCCATGACATAAAATTGACCCTTGGCAATGAGGGCACGCTACCTTGAAATATCCGCCAGTCCGGTTGAGTGGGGAGGGGGGGGAAGTGTGTGTGTGTGTGGGGGGGGGGGGTTGAGGTGTGTATCTCTTTCTACCATTCAGGTTGTGCATTTTAAAACCCGGGAAACAGAAGACTGTTCTGATGTTAATTTACTTGGGGGCTGATCGAGTGATGTTTGGCTTGAGACTGTCTAAATTAAAATTAATACTTTATTTATTTATTTCCTGTATATATCTTTTTTCTCATTTAAGTGAGAGTTCCCAGTCTATGTCTTGGCTTTGCTTGAAATATTTCTTTTAACTCGATGTCCGTGTATATTGTTTTTTAGCGCAATTTCCATTCTGGAGAATTGCGTTTATTAACCCGTCATTTCTGGATGTATGAATGAATGGATGGATGGATGGATGGATGAATGTGTGTCCGCAGCTTTAAGTCGTATCTCCTCCTCAACGAAGCAATATCGATGACTAGTTCCAAAAGCAATTATGTTAAGCAAGTTACGAGGATGAGCATAGGCCATAAAAATTCCGGGTTTCTTTCATGGATTTCCCGAAAAAGCCAAAAAACCTCGAAAAAATGCAGTTTTTTGCCCATATCTCGGCAACCAGACCACTTAGCGACTTGGAACATGTACCAATCGATTCCAATTAGAACAATATTGCAGAAGAAAGTTTTCAAAAATATCCTTTCGTTCGCTCACAAAAATTTTTTTGAATTAATTAAAATTTGGACCGAATTAGTGGGCATTTTTTCCAACCACACCACACGCGTCATCACGTTCAATAGCTGCGCCATCACGTTCAATGGCTGCGTCATCACGTTCAGTAGCTAGGCGCGCAATGGTTTCTAGTCATGTAACTCTATTGTAAATAAAACATGTAAAATACTGAAAAAAAACGTTTTAATAACTAACCAATGGTTTTACTAACCATGCTCTTGATTTACGCTACGACAGAGCTATTTTTAGATAGCATAAGGAAATTGCGCTTAAATGTCACTAGACTTTTTAATTACCTTGTTTTTTAATGGAAGTTATAAAAAGATACTCTATGTGGTAGCTTTGGAGGGATTGTAATAAAAAGACAACATGGGCCTTTATTATTGTTCTAATGTTACAATGTATCCTGCATGGAAAACATAATATTTGAAAAATGCACATTCTAAACAAAAAACATAAAACGTAGTATCTTAATTTTAACTGTATTTTATTCTGCGTAATAATTTAATCTTATTTCTTTATTCAACAAAAAGAAAAAAAACATTTACAAACAAAACTAAATTGGATCAAAATTATCAGACAGTTACATTTTCGATTTCCAAATAGGTTGCTTCCCTTTCAATATTGAGTTCGCGTGTCTATTTTTTTTTTGTCTAATTTATTTTCTTAGTTGTTTCCCTTTGTTCTGTAGTGACTGGTAAGCAAAAACCCGACTGTTCCGGTGATCTCCCCTCTCAGCTTGGCTGCCTTGCTTCGCTGAACTCGCCTGGTAGGCGAAAACTCGGTCTTCTAATTTTGGCCCAGCGTTGGCGTCATTCGCCTGCTTTTTTGAACTCGCCTTGTAGGCGAACACTTGTCCCTCTTTGACGTCGTTCGCCTGCTTGGCTGGGCTCGCCTTGTAGGCGAACACTTTACCGTCCGGCGACTTGTCTTTCTGCTGGAGCGAGTTGTACGCGAACACGCGACCTTGACCTTGATCTTGGTCCGACCTTGACCCTTTGGCCTGTAACGAGTTGTAGGCGAAAACTCGTCCTTGTGCCGTGCCTTCCGGCTTTTCTCTCCCCTGGACGGAGGGTTTTATCGCTTTGGCTTGTAGCGAGTTGTATGCAAAGACCCGGCCGTTTGCCGGTCTTTCCGGCTCTTCGCCGTCCTGCTGGACCAGCTGTGGGTTGATGGGTAGAATGAGAACTTCATCGGCCGTGAGGATGTCTGCCGGCTCCGTGTCTGGGGAGATATTTTTTTTAAAAATGTTTTAGTACAAGCAGGTCAACTGCTTAAATAAATACCCTGACATTTATGATAGGAAATGTCAAGTAAGATGTCTTCATTGGTGTCATCGGGTGTCTCTTTACTACCAGGTGACTAACAGAGTTTCTTCCAGGAGACATCTCTTTGGAGGGTGGGGGGGGGTGTCTCACGAAGTACGTCTACCGCCCCCCCCCCCTCACCCCGCCCCCCGAACGAATTAGAATTTATATAGAAAATATATACTTTTACCAGAGTCCGCACACCCCCACCCCCCCCCCCCCCCTCCCCAGAAAATTGAAAATTTGGAAGAAACACTGGTGACTGTTTCGTCCCTTTTACACATTCGTCTTAATTGTAGGGGCCAAATGTGTGAGATATTTCATAAGCGGCCAGAGCATTAAAAACGTTAATATTATAATCAGGGGTGATCCGTGTCCGGCAAATTTTCAAAGCCCCCCCCCCCCCCCCACCCCCAACTCTAGATTGAAATTTTCATTGTGAATTCTTTTTTTCCTCCTTTAAATTAAATTTCGCGGCTTGGTATGAAGGAATGAAAATGGTAAAATGGAAAAATGCCAACAAATTGTTTTTCTTTTAAATCGAAACACGAATTGGATATTACTACAGCTCCTTTACTGGGAACCCATCGGAATTGTTTTTCCTTTGGGCCCACCAGGATTTTTTCTAAGGCCCACCAGAATTTTTTCCTTGGGGGCCCACCAGGATTTTCCCCTGTAGACCGGCGGGCCAGTCCAACCATGATAAGAAGTTTTTTTTTTTCTTAAGATAACGGTCTTTGTCTAGATTTCGTCAAGCGCTAGCTGACCGGCCTAATGTAAGAAATAGTTTCACTTTTTTTGTCCGACCTCTATTGAAATATTGACCACTTGAATAAAATATATAAGGAGACATATGGCTAGATACTGGCCTATTATGGGAAGGACATATACCTTTTGTAAAATAGATATTGTAAGATAGAACAGGTAAAAAAAAAAAACAATGCTTTGTGAATATATCTTTTTTCTACACTCGCTGCGAATGAATAAGAACCGAAATTCTTAATGAAATGGGAGTGAGTAGGGGAGAGGGTGGAGTGAGGGTGTGTGAGTGTCTGTGTGTGTGGGTGTGAGTGGGTGTGTATGTGCTGGAAATATTTTAACACAATCCACCTCAAGTGTGTGGGTGTGCGTGTCCACCTCAAGTGTGTGTGTGTGTATGTGTGTGTCTGTGTGTGTGTGTGTCTGTGTGTGTGTGCTGGAATTGCTTTAACACAATCCACCTCAAGTTTGTGTGTTTGTGTGTGTGTGTGCTGGAAATATTTTAACACAATCCACCTCAAGTGTGTGGGTGTGCGTGTCCACCTCAAGTGTGTGTGTGTGTGTGTATGTGTGTGTCTGTGTGTGTGTGTCTGTGTGTGTGTGCTGGAATTGTTTTAACACAATCCACCTCAAGTGTGTGTGTCTGTACGTGTGTGTGTGTGCGTGTGTGCTGGAATTATTTTCACACAATCCCCCTCAAGTGTGTGTGTGTGTGAGTGGGTGTGCTGGAATTATTTTAACACCATCCACCTCACCCGTTATCTCGGCACTCTCGGCCTCCTTGGGGTCAGTCTGGTGCTGCGTGCAGTGGACCGTGACGAGGCTGGCACCGAGTGAGACGAGGACCCAGATGATCTTGGACATTCTGAAAACTGTGGAGGGGGGGGGATGAACAACCGTTGTTAGCAGACGACTCAAAACTAATTGGTAAAGGTGTGCAATAAATATTATAAGCATAATCTATTCTTTTTTTATACTTATTCAAATAGTGGTTCATTTTTTATAAAAAAAAAATTCCTACTTTTTAGCGCAAATATAAAAGCTTACTATTGTAACGTTTATTTAGTAAATTATGTTTTTATTCAAATAAATGATTTTTATACATTTTAAATTTTGTAGAGCCCAATCGCATAGCATAAAAGACGCACAAAATTATTTTAACAGCGCGAAAAAAAATGTATATGATCAACTCGAATCAATTGTTCAAAAAATTTCATTAAACATCGAAGTCCAATTTATATTACATTGCTCCATCACGTGTCAAGTTAGAACGAAATCGGTTGGGTAAAAGTGGTTGAAATTTCGCTCGCAAGTTGCGTCCCATGACAGAAAAAGGCAAATATCGAAATGAAAGAACCTCCATAGATTCTATATTTATATATTCGTTGCGTGTGTATACTTCTCCTTCCAGTCCGGAACGAGATCCGAACTCGAGTTCTTCGGGTTAGCAGACGAGACCTCTACCGTTCGACCATGCCGTCCGATATTAAATCTTTTGAATTAACAATAAAAAACTCAAAAAATATGAAATTAAGAGACGACTGAAAGTTAATGGAAATGTTTCTCGAACCCACACCACACCTGTAATACTTGCTAGCTTTACTCCCCGACCACCTTATCAAGTCTACCAGTCAACCACCCTATCAAGTCTACCTCCTAACCACCCAACCACTCGACCACTCAACCACCCTATCAAGTCTACCACTCGACCACCCAGCTACTCACCATACATGTCTGCCAGCTACAGTTGATGAAAGAGTTGACTAACGTACTCACCTACCAGACTTTATACATCCCACCTGACCATTAAGGCTCATTAAGTCTGACCATATACACACGTGCACCATATCTAATTAACCCCTGCCTTTGTCTCACCTGCATGTAGATGAGTAATTAGCGCCGGGGACACTACTTCCACGACTTGTGTGAATGGGCTGACCATTACCACTCGGCTGCCCACGCCATCCAGACTGCTAGATGGTAGACAGCAACACTATTAAGGGGGGATAAGTATAATATAAAGGCAAGGGGAGATAAAGGTAATGGAAAGGGGGGATAATGATGTTGCATCAGCCTGTTGATTTATTATGCAAAAGTGTGTTCAGTTTTTTCGTTGGCGACTTTTTTTTTTCGTCATACTTATAAGTTGACACCAACACTCCCCTCCCCCTTCCTTCCCACCCATTCTTCCTTGCGATTGTCGAAATTTAGCATCGGTTTTTACACGGCGTCAAAACTGTCTAAAACATTGTCGTTGCTTTCAGTAGACCCGAACCAACAGAAACTCTGCTTATATACATCTACCAACAAGGCAGTGGCAATGCCCACATGACTTTACTAGACTCTACCCAATATGACGCTACTACCAGTAACAATATCTCATGTGACTCCACTAGACAGAGAGTAACTATATCCCACATGACCCCACTAGTAACAATGTCCCACATGACTCCACTAGTAACAATGTCCCACTGACTCCACTAGCCAGTAACAATGTCACATTAGACTCCACTAGCCAGTAACAATGTCACATTAGACTCCACTAGCCAGTAACAATGTCACATTAGACTCCACTAGCCAGTAACAATGTCACATTAGACTCCACTAGCCAGTAACAATGTCACATTAGACTCCACTAGACAGTAACAATGCCCCACATGACTCCACTAGACAGTAACAATGTCCCACATGACTCCACTAGACAGTAACAATGTCCCACATGACTCCACTAGACAGTAACAATGCCCCACATGACTCCACTAGACAGTAACAATGCCCACATGACTCCACTAGACAGTAACAATGCCCCACATGACTCCACTAGACAGTAACAATGCCCCACATGACTCCACTAGACGGTAACAATGCCCCACATGACTCCACTAGACAGTAACAATGTCCCACATGACTCCACTAGACAGTAACAATGCCCCACATGACTCCACTAGACAGTAACAATGTCCCACATGACTCATCTAGACAGTAACAATGTCCCACTGACTCCACTAGACAGTAACAATGTCCCACATGACTCAACTAGACAGTAACAATGTCCCACATGACTCCACTACACAGTAACAATGTCCCACATGACTCAACTAGACAGTAACAATGTCCCACATGACTCCACTAGCCAGTAACAATGTCCCACATGACTCCACTAGCCAGTAACAATGTCCCACATGACTCAACTAGACAGTAACAATGTCCCACATGACTCCACTAGCCAGTAACAATGTCCCACATGACTCCACTAGCCAGTAACAATGTCCCACATGACTCCACTAGCCAGTAACAATGTCCCACATGACACCACTAGCCAGTAACAATGTCCCCCATGACTCCACTAGACAGTAACAATGTCCCACATGACTCCACTAGACAGTAACAATGTCCCACATGACTCCACTAGACAGTAACAATGTCCCACATGACTCAACTAGACAGTAACAATGCCCCACATGACTCCACTAGACAGTAACAATGCCCACATGACTCCACTAGACAGTAACAATGCCCCACATGACTCCACTAGACAGTAACAATGCCCCACATGACTCCACTAGACGGTAACAATGCCCCACATGACTCCACTAGACAGTAACAATGTCCCACATGACTCCACTAGACAGTAACAATGCCCCACATGACTCCACTAGACAGTAACAATGTCCCACATGACTCATCTAGACAGTAACAATGTCCCACTGACTCCACTAGACAGTAACAATGTCCCACATGACTCAACTAGACAGTAACAATGTCCCACATGACTCCACTACACAGTAACAATGTCCCACATGACTCAACTAGACAGTAACAATGTCCCACATGACTCCACTAGCCAGTAACAATGTCCCACATGACTCCACTAGCCAGTAACAATGTCCCACATGACTCAACTAGACAGTAACAATGTCCCACATGACTCCACTAGCCAGTAACAATGTCCCACATGACTCCACTAGCCAGTAACAATGTCCCACATGACTCCACTAGCCAGTAACAATGTCCCACATGACTCCACTAGCCAGTAACAATGTCCCCCATGACTCCACTAGACAGTAACAATGTCCCACATGACTCCACTAGACAGTAACAATGTCCCACATGACTCCACTAGACAGTAACAATGTCCCACATGACTCCACTAGCCAGTAACAATGTCCCACATGACTCCACTAGACAGTAACAATGTCCCACATGACTCCACTAGCCAGTAACAATGTCCCACATGACTCCACTAGCCAGTAACAATGTCCCACATGACTCCACTAGCCAGTAACAATGTCCCACATGACTCAACTAGACAGTAACAATGTCCCACATGACTACACTAGCCAGTAACAATGTCCCACATGACTCCACTAGTAACGATGCCCCACATGACTCCACTAGACGATAACAATGTCCGTATGACTCCACTCGCCAGTAGCAATGTTCGTGTGACTGTATTTTCGATGCTGTCAGGGGACTTAATGATAACGAGCCAACAGAGTTGTACCGACATTCTGTTTCTGTTCTTGTAAATAAAAAGTTCCGTCCCTTGTTACACTAGCAACTACTATAAGGGTCCATTTGTTGTCTAGCTTAACAAGTTTTTAAAAAAATTCCTCTCTAAAACAAATTCTTCAAATAAAACTCTGGAAACAGGTTAGTGGCACATTTAATAATGCAAAATTCTCTGATTGTATATTCTCTTCAGTCGAGTTCATTGAAAAAATATCGTATTACATAGAGCACGTCCCTAAGTCCACCAGTGTCTCTTCCAGGCATCTTTTTACCGCCCCGCCCCCCCCCCCCCCTGAACGAAATGAAATTTATATAATTTATATAGAAAATATATACTTTTAACAGTGTCCGCCCCCCCCCTCGAAGAAAGTCTACGCACCCCCCCCCCCCCGGAGAAAAAAGTCTGGTAGAAACACTGGAGTCCACCCAGCTCTGATGGGAATCACGTTAGGGAATTAAAGGCGGCTGGGCATAGTGCAAGCCACGCTATCCCTTCATAAGCTGATGACACTGAAGCAGATGAACTCTACTTCATCTGCCCCATGTGCCTAGGGCACGAACGGGAAATGATGATGATAGGAAACATTAAATTTTTAAATTGTATTTTTTGTACTAAAATACCACATACTAACCTGTCTTTGAATTATAACAGCTTACGTTTCAAACACCTCTAGATAATGTCTGTATATTTTTTTTAGTATCTAATTCGATTTTTTATTTTATTTGACGAAACATAATTTCTCAATTCGTCTTTAGACCCTATCCTAACCATGTGATGCAGCAATTTTTATATTAACTAACACATTACAGTAATAAAAATAAAATGATCCAAGTATTAATGTGTTTGGTACAATTATGCTTTAAATGGAATGAATACTTTAATTATAATAAAATAAAATTTCGCCGAAAGATATTTTGTTTTCTATTTTTCTTTTAACTAGATGGTTTTTATTTAATAAGTAAATATTTGATGTGTAATTAAATCGATTGCATAATTATACTTTTATTAAAAAAATAGCAGCCCCTGTCCCTTGTGTCTATATCTGTAATTACTATAACAACTCTCTAATTACTGTCGTGATTCGTATTGTAGTTTGTGTTTTTTACTGCTAGACTTTAACCTGTAATGACTTCATCGACCATTCAATTGCCTACTTAAACGCGGTATTAGTTTTAAAAATTCAAAATAATTATAAACATACAAAATTAATCAGTACTATTAGGACAATGCTGGTTTGAAAAATAAAATTAGATAATTAAAATTCATTGATTAGTTAAATAATTTATGTTCATAAAATAAGTATTTTAAAATATAAATTTATAAAATTTAAATTTTAAAACTTTTGTTGTTGTTGGCTTTATTGCCCGTGACGACATATCAGTTTGAGAATGAAATAATCAAGCACTTCAATCAAACGCCGTGTTTTAGCCGAGTTACTGTACCTTATATCCAGTCACCAAGGCCCACAACTTAACCAGTTCTCTAACATTTAAGAAGCCCGTCTTTCGCGAAAAGCTTTTTTTGTCAGGCAATTTTAATAAAATTTTCAATGATATTCCCTGGTTCGGTTTGAGATGGATTCGAACCTCAGCGATTCCACCGCCTTCAGGACCCAGCTGGCGAACATCGTTACTTCAGAGGGGAAGAGGGTCAGCGTGTACAATGACGTCAGTGACGAGTTTCGTCATCAGTTCAGCATCGTCGTCACCATCTTCATGTCAGGGGCCGTCAGTATCATGGGCGTCTGCTGCAACGTCATCAATTTGGTCGTCTTTAGGCGGCAAGGTGAGTGTCACGTTACGTGATCAATTTAGTCGTCTTCATACGGCAAGGTAGGTGTCACGTCACGTGATCAATATAGTCGTCTTTAGGCGGCAAGGTAGGTGTCACGTCACGTGATTAATGTAGTCCTCTTCAGGCGGCAAGGTGAGTGTTACGTTACGTGATCTATATGGTCGTCTTTATGCGACAAGGTGAGTGTCACGTCACGTGATCTATATGGTCGTCTTTATGCGACAAGGTGAGTGTCACGTCACGTGATCAATTTGGTCGCCTTTAGGCGGCAAGGTGAGTGTCACGTCAGATGATCAATGCAGTCGTCTTCATGTGGAAAAATGAGTGTCACGTTACGTGATCAATTTGGTCTTCTTTAGGCGGCAAGTTGAGTGTCAAGTTAAATTATCAATTTGGTCGTCTTTAGGCGGCAAGGTGAGTGTCACGTCACGTGATCAATATAGTCGTACTCAGGCGGCATAGTCGGCGTCACGTTACCTGGTCGATAATGTCTTCAGGCGGCAAGGTCACGTGATCAGTATAGCTTTCTTCGAGGGCTACAAGAGAGTGTCACGTTAATATAGTTGTCTACAGGCGTTAAGTAAATGTCAGGGTACGTGGTCATTGTTGTTGACTTCAGACGGCAAAGTATCACTTTCCTTGGTCAATACATTAGTCTTCAGACTATGATAACAGTATTTCAAAAAGTTTCTCATTAACGTTTTAATTATCTCCTAATTAGTCTTCAGACCAGGATAACAGTATTTCAAAAAGTTTCTCATTAACGTTTTAATTATCTCCCACTTAACGCTGTCCGCAGGTCTTCACGAGACCGTCAACATCAGCCTCTTCAGCCTGGCGGTCGCTGACCTGCTTTGCGTGACCTTCACCCTGTGGCTCTCCGTCTGCATGGTCCTCTACGTCCTCGACCCGCCGAGCCTGACCTTCGACCCGACCAGCCTCATCTCTGTCACGGCCAGCGGCCCGCGCATCATCTTCTCCCGCACCAGCTGTTGGCTGACCGCGGTCATCTCTCTACAGCGGTGCCTGTGCGTGACCTTGCCTTTCAAGGTCAGGCGAATCCTGACCTTGAAGAACACGGCCGCCTGCGTCGTGTTGGTGTCCGCGTTCACGTGCCTGACGCACATGTCGCTGTATTTTTACCGGACGCTCCGGGTGGGGTTCGATCCCAGGACGAACAGTACTCGGATCTACACGGCGCTTGTATCCTACGGCAACATCGACATCGTCGTCAACGCCGTGTTCTTCATCATCCTCCCCGTCCTCAACTTCCTCATCGTCCTCACCTGCACGCTGATCATCATCCTCACGCTGAAGAACTCCCAAAAATGGCGGTCCTCTGTGTCCTACGTCAGCAGCAAACTCCACAAAACTCATGACGTCATTTCCTCAATCGCCGAGTCCGATGACGTCAAAGACAACAAAGAGGTCAGGATTTCCCGGATGATAGCCACCATCATGATGATTTTCGTCGCGTGCAACGCCCCCGCCAACATCATCCTGTCAATCAAATACGCGATCCCAGAGTTCCGCGAGACCGGAAGTCTGAAGAACTTGTTCTACGCCACGAACAACGTCGTGTTCTTCTTGGAGGCGCTCAACTCCAGCGTGCATTTCTTCGCCTACTACAGCATGAGCTCAAGGTTTCAGCAGGCGTTCACTAGCGTCTTCAAGGGGAACAGGTTGTGTAGGTGTGGGTGAAGGTCGGTGTAGGTGAAGGTCGGTGTGGGTGAAGGTCGGTGTAGGTGAAGGTGAAGGTCAGTGTGAGTGAAGGTCGGTGTTGGTGTTTCGGTATAGGCTAAGAGTCGGTGTAGGTGATTGCACTTGTATGGTAAAGGTCAGTGTATAACATGATCACCATTATAAGAAAAATGAGATATTGCTTGTTTAATTGATTTTAAAAAGCTTTAAATGGATTCGTCGAAATCTGAAGCAAAATGGAATTTTTTTTTTTAAATTGTATTCGATCTGAACAAAAACTCTATCTATAACTGCTATTTTAATGTAAACAAAGCGGACACTATAGGGCTGGTAAGTAGGTCAATAATTAGTTCTGTGGCTCATGCAGGTTTTATTGAGCCGTAGAACTGTTTATTGACCTACTTACCAGCCCTATAGATGTTGGGTCGCGAGTTTGTGCACACTACATCCCTGACGGCCCGGTGTGTGATGTATGATTGCATTGAGTGAACGTTAATCACACTCCATTTTAGTGAGGTAAACATTTATTCAACAATAATAGTAGCCCATCGTATCTATAGTTATCTCACTCTTTAAATGGAACGTATGGGCCATAGTACTCATTAGGGAGCCCGGGGCACCAAATCGCGAGCTGATGGGGCGCTCCTGATTCGATTTTAATGAACGATGATGGTAACCCATTGTATCCATAGTTTATCGGACTCTTTAAAACGAACGTAAGCGCTACATAATGAAAATCCCGTTGCGCCAAATAGCATTGATACATGTTACACACTAGTTTTAGAGTGGACCTTAGAGGGACCGTTGGTGGTGACCCATACAGCTAAGAATATCGAACCACTATACTTGTATGTAAATGACGGCATAGTCGAACGATAGAGCTTACGGCTGCTAATTCTCGAGTTCGAGTCCCGTGCTCGAGTCTCTAGGTTATTCCTGGTTCTACTCAGCTCTGTTAGGTACCTAAAGCTGACCACACTGTGCCCCATGAACTCTACTTCATCTGCCGTATGTAACTTGGGCACGAACGTGAATAAATGATGATGATGTTTGTATATTTTATATTTTTTGTAGCTGTTATAAATAAAGTTAAATAAGATGCACAAAAGTGTCCAGACACGCTTAATATCTAGCTGTTAGGTCTAACCGCTGATCATCGCAACGTTTTCAGTGGTCATTTTAAACTGACCACTCTGTCACGTGTCTCATACATTTGGACTCACAGTGTCAGTCTCTGTAGACATTATTATTAGCGCGGTCGTTTTCAAATAATGTCTAACCAGACTTTTTGTGACACAGAAGATATAATAATTTACAAATTCTTCAAATATTCACCGATTGCTCCGTAAATTTTTGTATGTCCATTTTTCATGTGTTAAAACCATTTTTATGACTCAGTTCTAAAACCCCGCATTGAGCTCATGTGTCAGTGATGGACTGACATTTGATGTAGAGCAACTCAAGCAGAAAATGTCGTACAATAGTTCCGCCTCGCTAGGCTGGCTGGGCAGTAAACTCACTAGCACCATCACACCATCGTATCCCGTCACAGCGACGTACCCCGCCACAGCGACGTACCCCGCCACAACGATGTACCTCATCACAACGACGTACTCCATCACAAAGATGTACCCCACCACAACGACGTACCCCGTCACAACGCCGTACCTCATCACAACGACGTACTCCATCACAACGACGTACCCCACCACAACGACGTACCCCGTCACAACGACGTACCCCGTCACAACGCCGTACCCCAGCACAACGACGTACCCCACCACAACGACGTACCCCGTCACAACGACGTACCCCGTCACAACGCCGTACCCCCGCCACAACGACGTACCCCAGCACAACGACGTACCCCGCCACAGCGACGGTTCCCATAAAGACGAGCTCCTACGTGGACCTGAGCGACGACTTCCGGTACTGGTTCACCGGTGTGGTCAGCCTGCTGGGCATAGTGTCCAACGTGACGAACATTCTGGTCTTCCGGAAACAAGGTCATTGGTCATTACTTGGTCATTGTCTGGTGATTGTAAGGTCATTTTCTGGTCATTGTCAAGTCGTTTCGCGTAATTGTCTCCTATATTCCCTGAAAGCTGCGCTGCAGTTTTGAACCTGCCGGGCAGACATTTTGTAAAATACATATATTCTTGTATACGACTTTTAGAACACCGCCCATACACCTTGCACACAATCTTTTTCTCCTTAAGGGGAACATTGATTGTCTCTTCATCGTTTTGTTTTTTCTGGTCATTGTATGGTTATTTTTTCATTGTCTGTTAATTGTTGGTAAACTCACAATTTGTTTGTAGCCTGTACTTACAACGCCCGCGTTACTGGAGTAACAGGTTTAAAAGTTTCATTTTTTGATTTACCGATATAATTTGTGTATACACCACTGCTAAAATAAGTCATCCAAAAGATTATGTGATTACCGTTCTACAAGAGACAAACACACTACCACACACATATTACCACACACACTTGTTACCAATGACACACCAACACACACACTAACACACAAACACACAGACACATACAACTATCCCCTCTTATGTACTGAACAGTTCAAACATTTCCCCTTGACCCCCAGGTCTCAAGGACAGCGTCAACATTTCTCTATTCGCCCTGGCCGTGGCTGGACTCTTCTGCGTGACCTTCGCCCTCTGGTCATCCATCTGTAACGTCCTGGACGTCCTTGACCCTCCAGGGTTTACCTTTGACCCCTTCAGCCTTCTAGTCATGACGTCAAGCTATCCAAAAATCATCTTTTCAAAAACCATCTGTTGGCTGACGGCACTTATCTCGTTCCTGCGTTGCCTGTTCGTGACCAGTTTCTTCCAGGTATCTCTTGGGGGGGGGCTTAGACCCCCCCCCCCCCCTGAAAAATTTTTACCGCCCCCCCCCCCCCCCCGAACGAAATGAAATTTATATAATTTATATAGAAAATATATACTTTTAACAGTGTCCGCCCCCCCCCCCCCCCGAAGAAAGTCTACCGCCCCCCCCCTCCCCCCGAAAATTTCAAGTGCCCCCCCCCCCCCCCCGGAGAAAAAAGTCTGGAAGAAACACTGTTCGTGACCTTGCCGTTCAAGGTCAAATCTTTACTCACTGCCAAAGTCACATTTTAAGCCATATCTATATATATCTATATATATAATTCTCTTCTGGTAGACGCTAGAAAACAAGCTGTCAACGCGCTCCTTACCACCCCCACCCCTACATGGTCTTAGTGAGCTGTGTTCACTCTAAATATTTACAAACAGAGCCGGGTTTAGTGACGACTATTAGGGGCAGATAATTTAGTTTGAAACGAATTTAAACGTAGGGGGTGGGGGGGGGGGGTATGGTCCTTAACGTGCTACTTATAGTGTTTTAAATAAATATTTTCAGTGGCAGCGTTGGTACCGACGAATTCACAAATTATGAATTACTGAAAAGTAGAAAAAACAACTAAATAGCGGCGTATTTTATGCCGCGGGCCGGCTCGTATATATATAATTCTCTTCTGCGAGCCGTTAGAAAACAAGCTGCAAACGCGCCTTACAAATTCAATACAATCCCATCTCTTCCTCTCTATTAATATCGCTACCACCCCCACCCCACCCCCACATGGTTTGGTGAGCTGTGGTCACGTTAATGTTTACAAATCGTAGATTTAGTGACGGCTATCAGGGGCAGATAATTTAGTTTGAAACGATTTTAAACTTACAGGAGGTAACTAAGAGGAGGCTGCTTTAAACGGGGGGGGGGGGGGGTTGAGGGTAGGGGTTGGGGGAAAGGGGGGGGGGGCTGTGTTTTAAAGCAAATATTTTCAGTGGCAGCATTGGTACTGTCGAATTCACAAATTATGAATTACTGAAAAGTAGAAAATAAAACAACTAAATAGCGGCGTATGATACACCGCGGGGCGGCTCGTGTCAATATATTTCTTCAAAGACCTTAAACTTGGCACAGACCCAAACTATAATCTAACCAGGATCTTTATGGTGCATATAAAGAACGGCCGGCCAAGCCAATTGGTCAACAAGCTATTTTTCATCTCTTTACCATTAATCAATTTCTTTGCCATTCTCTGCTGTACTGTTATCATGATCGTGGCACTGAAGAGCGCCACAAAATGGCGGATTTCCGCTCGATTAGGAAATAACTCCAATCTGAAACAACTGTCAGACACAGTGACATTAAAGTCCAAAGACATTTCTAAACGTCCACAGCGCAATCCTTATTCTAAAAATAATGAACCCAACCCTTTTTATAATGTCATCGAATACAGCAGTGTTTTCAAGAATTCCGAACCCAACCCAAATACCAAAAGATCCGACCCCACCAAGGTTTTAAAAAATCCGAACCCAACCCACCTTACCTTTCAGGAGGCACCGAGTCCAACCCTGTTATCAGATCTTACAAACCTCATATTTTTAAAAGACACAAACCCATTCCTGCTTCCAGCTAATACAAACCCAACCCTGGAGCCGACACGAAAGAGGTTCGAACCTCCAAGCTGGTCTTGACGGGAATGATCATCCTCATCGTCTATCTAAATTATATCAAATAAAATTGCATTTACAGACCAAAACCAAAACAATTTCCTCCTAAAAATGTTTGTTTTTATATTTAGCTAACGAACTAATTTGTTAGCAACATGATGCCTTATGATTTTTACAAGCTTTTTCTTCGCAACGTCTGGCTAGTTCTAGTTAATAACATCCGCACTGTTAAAGTGGGCTCAGCGACCACCAAGATAACAGGGGCGTCTCGAGTCGCTCTCGGGAGTCACCGGTTACACAACCACAAGAGCTCCAGGTCCGACCCTGGTTCGGTGTAGTCATCAAATGTAGTCACCCACCGTATCCCTAGTTTAGGGTGCTCTTTAAAACAAATGTAGGCGCCCTCAAGGAGCCAGAGGCGCTCCGGGTTACTTGATTGTCAGGGCGCTGGAGATTTTCCTTTGTGCGGTTAGACCTTTGAATCAAGTAGGACATTTGAAA